GAGGGCATTGGAATCCCCTGGAACTGGAGTCAAGGACGGTTCATAGCCACCATGTGGGTGCTGGGGATCGAACCCGGGTCTTCTGCAAGAGCAGTCAGTGCTCTTAACCACTGATCCATCTCTCCAGCCCCCTGTATTTACTTTCTTGAATGTTCACTGGTTTATTTGAAGTGGTTTGGGAAACCTCTCAAAGATTCATTTGGCTATAAAAAGACTTAGGAGTGGTAGAGGGCATTTCTAATCCCAGCACTGCAGCAGCTACAGCAGGAGGATATTGAGTTTACAGCCTAGGCTACATAGTGAGAACCTGTCTCAAAAGAATAGAGGAACAGATTTCCTGAGGTCTAAAGGGATTTGCACATGGAAATACTCCAGTCAACAAGGGGTTCACATTGAGCATTCTGCAGTTAATTGTTTCAAGTCTGCAGCTGCCTTGGAAACCTGTGATTGAGCCTGGCCTCTTTCCAGAAGTGCTGAACCTCCTTCATTGTTTGAGCACTGGAGGATGCAGTGTTCATGCATGTGCACTTGAAAGCCAACTACTTGGTCTAAGGGTTCATGGATTGTTGATCAGCAGGACCAGGTGGCTGGCTAGCACACAGCTTCAAGAGCATGTTAATATAGTCAACTGCAGTACAAGAAATTGCCATTTTGGTTTAGTTTGTGTATGTGTGTATGTTTTAAATTTGGTTTTAGTTAGTAGAGAGGCCATTTGACAGTTATTAATACATATTAGTTATATAACTAATGGAATTTGCACTGATAGTTTTGATCAGTGTTCAGCATCTGGCACTGAGCTTGCTCTGGAGCTGAAATAAAACCCGAAAACATTCTCTACAACTTAAAATCTACAAACCTAGAAAACACACTTTGGGGGTTAGGAGAGGACATTGCAGGATAATATGTATAGCCAGGTCTTTGTGAGCACTCTGCACACATACATACAGAAAGGAATCTGGAGGGACAACCACTGCCTTAATTCATAGTCTAGCTAATGATATTACAGACTGGATAGGTTTGAAAGGAAAAGGTTTAGGGGCTAGAGAGATGGCTCAGTGGTTAAAAGCACCGACTGCTCTTGCAGAGGACCAGGTTCAATTCCCAGCATCTACATGGTGGCTAACAACTATCTGTAGCTCCAGTTCCAGGGGATCTAAAACCCTCTTCTGCACTTTGAAGGCATTGTTGAACAATATGGGTGCATTTTACATACACACAGGTAAAACAACCATGCATAAAATAAAAATTAATTAAAGGTAAGAGGTTTAATTTGGCTTACAGTTGTGGAGATTCAAGGTTGAGGGACTGCATCTGTTGATAATCTCCTTGGTGAGAGAGTTCCAATGTGGTACATGGAGTCAGATGACAAGAGAAAGGGAGACTGCAGGTTTATCTTCTGGTCTCTATTATTATAAAGCCACCAGTATTCAGGTTTTGGAGTTCCACTTTATCTAACTAATCAACTCCTGAGGTCCGCCTTATCCACTTTAGTTGGACTAACTTTTCACCCTCTTAATTCCTCACAATGGCAGTTAAACTCCAGTGTGAGTTTTGGACAGGCCAGACATATTTAGAACATAGCACTCATTGAAAATTCAGCAGCAGTGACCAGGAAGAAGTACATGGAAGGAGGGATTTGTAATCTGTGTATATGTTGTGGGTTGTTTCCCTTTTCCCCACTATGAGCGTGTTTATAATATTTTAATTTTAAAAAATAATTGGAAGAATGTAGTCTATAATTGTATGTGTCTGTTCTAAGACTTTAAAGATATTTTCTTGTATTTTTTTTCTGTTGATTTTAGTCATATGTTAAAATGTCCTTTTACAGGAAACATATTCAAGATTTAAACTGGCAGCGAAAGAATATGCAACTCACAGCTGGATCTAAATTGAGAGAAATGGAATCAAAGTTAGTGTCTTTTTATCATGTTTTAAGTTGTTTAGCCCATTTTAGATCAAGATTTTTTTGGGGGGGGTCTTTTTGAGACAGGGTCTCCCTGTAGTCCCAGCTGGCCTGGAACTCACTATGTAGACCAGACAGGCCTTGAACTCAGAGATCCACCTGCCTCTGCCTCCCAAGTGCTAGGACTACAGGCATGTGCCACCACACTGGACTTAGATCAAGATTTATAAGATTCTGATAATAATCACATGGGATGCCACAGGTGTCAAAGAAAGGCTATTTTATGACTGTATGAGTCCCTTTTCTGTTGCTGTGATAGAAACACAGTGAGCTCCAGGCCAACCTTGGCTACATTTCTGTTCCGTTCTCCTTCCTCCTCCCCATGTCGTTCTTGCTCTGCCCTCCTCCCCTCCACTTCCATGCACCATGTATTATATCACATTTTGTTTCAAGCTGATGCTTCTCTTAAATTTATCCTTGAAATTTTGTTTTGTTTTGTTCTTTTTGAGACAGGGTCTCCCTGTAGCCCCAGCTGACCTGACACCACTAGCTGAAGACCAGGCTGGCCTCATCACATAGAGATCCCCCTGCTTCGCAAGTTCTGAGACTAAAGGCTTGTGCCACCATGGTCCTTGAGATTTTTTAGGGAAAATAGATGCTTCCTGAAATCTATGGTTTTTGTTGTTTGTTAGTTCTAAAATTTTCTCCACCATTTTTCTATAACTTGCCTCTGTCCTGTTTTCTGTTAATCTCATATTGTCTTCCATTACTTTCCTGAGTCTTTTGTCTTACTGATCCTCTTATTTCTGCTTTTTAAATTAAACTTCTTATCATGAGACAGTTGTAGATTCACATTCAATTATAAGAAATACAAGCTAGGCGTGGTGGTACATGGCTTTAATCCCAGCACTTGGAAGGCAAAGGCAAGCAAATTTCTGTGAGATCCAGGCCAGCCTGGTCTACGTAGCAAGTTCCAGGCCAGCTGGGACTACAGGGAGACCCTGTCTCAAAAAGACAAAGAACAACAAAAAAGAAATAATACAGAAAGATCTTATGTACCCTTCACCTACTTTCCCACAATTTTGCTTCAGGTTTTTTTTTGAGGGGGGGGTCTTTTTGAGACAGGATCTCCCTGTAGCCCCAGCTGGCTTTGAACTCACAGAGATCTGCCTGCCTCTGCCTCCTGAGTGCTGGGATTAAGGATGTGTGCCAGCGTGTGAACCTGGCTTCGTGTTTTTTGCAAGTTAAAAATGTTACTGCCCTGAGTGAAACTATGTATATTTAAGATAACTCTAAAAGAAATTTTACATTGAGTAATTTTTCCTTTCCTTAAATTCTTTCCCTTTTTTAGCTGGGTGTCTCTGGTTAGTAAGAATTATGAGATTGAACGGACTATTGTGCAACTGGAAAATGAAATCTATCAAATAAAGCAGCAGCATGGAGAAGCAAACAAAGAAAATATCCGGCAGGACTTCTGAATAGACCGATTTAGCAGAAAGGAAGAAAAGTAGGGATTTTGCAAAGCATCAGGTGCCTGAACTTCCTCTGAACTGTTTTAATACAGCGTCCTTTCAGTAGTTGGTGGTTAAATGTTTGGAGACTATACAGTTTGTGCGCTGTTGAATTTCTTTTGTTTGTGTGTCTTAACAAAATAAAGATTTTTCAACATGGTTGTATTTTTATAGCTATAAAACCTCGGTTTTCAAAATCAGTAAAACTTTAGAATAGTCTTTTATTTTGTAGCCAAGGTCCCTTATTTAAGGCTTCCAACATGTACAAGCCTGGGAGCTTTGGGTTTATATTTTTCAATATAGTAATAGTTCTAAGTATTTTCTCGATCACTAAACATGATGATTAATCTTGATTGTCAATCTAGAAAATTGTGGAAGGACATGAGGTTATTATTTTGACCATAGTTGACACTGGATTGATTGTTCAGAGCCTGGAACTGGTTCACAGTAGGAATTTGGGAAAGTTTGAAAAGGTGGGCTAGAGAGGGTTAGAATGCATTGCTTAATGAATGCAATTCTGGTGAGGGCTAGGAAAATCAAAATGCTAGAAATGTCAACAGTAAAGGTTTATGCTTGTGAGGTTCCAGATGGGAACAAAGACTATTGGGAATTGGGCTAAAAGGCACTACTACCCTCTTAATTCTGTGGCAAGGAACTTCTATGCCTTTTGTCTGTGCCCTGAGGCCATGTGGGAGGCAGAGTTTTGAGGTAACAGACTAATGTCCGAGGAGGACAGAAGAGGCTGTCAGATCCCCTGGAACTGGAGTTATGGACAGTTAGCTGCCATGTGGATGCTGGGATTTGAACCCGGGTCTTCTGCAAGAACAACCAGTGTTCTTAATCTTTGAGCCATCTCTCCAGCCCCCTTTTGGTCTTTTTGAGACAGGATTCTCCTTGTAGTCCCAGCTGGACTTGGGAGTCTTTGCCTCCCAAGTGCTGAGATTCAAGGTTTGCACCACTATGCCCAGCTTGAACTTGGACTTTTGAGCAAGGGAACTCTTAAAGACTTTGGGGACTCTTGAAGATGAATAAAATACATTTTGCACTGTGAGGTCTGTGGTCTATGTGGGCCTTTGGAGCCAGGGACAAATGCTATTGTTTGGATCTTGAATGTCCCTCCAGGAGTTCATGTGTTGAAGGCCCTGTCCCTATTTGATTTGGTGAAACCTTCAGAAGGCGGATCCTAGTATTTAAAAATTAGGTAATAAGGGCATGTCCTTAAAGATGTTGGGGCCATGAGCCCTTTCTTTTTTACTACTTGGCTCATGAGCTGACTTAGCAGACTCCTATACCATGTGTTTCCACCTGCCTCACCACAGGCCCAAAAGCACCTGGGCCAACCATGGACTGAAATCTTGAGAACTATGAGCCAAAATATACCTATCCTTACAAGTTATCTCACCTACCTGTTATGGCAGCACCAAATAAGACAAATACAGTGACTCTATATATGATGTCGTTATCAAGCTTAATATGTGTTGCACTATAATCCCAACTCTCTTTGAGAGAAGCTCCCACTAAGTTGCCTGAGCTGGCCTTGAACTCACCCTGAAATTATCAGTAGGCATTTATCAAGAGGAGAGCAATCAGTGGGGCAAAATTTACAAGTATCCTTAATCTAAAGAAGCAATTGGGCCAACAAGATAGCTCAGCAGGTAAAGGTGCCTCCCTACCATGCCTGATGACCTGAGTTTGATCCCCAGAACCCAAATGGTGGAAGGAGAGAACTGACTTGCATATTATCCTCTGACCTTCGCATGTATGCTCCTTCCCCACACATCCAAAAAAAAAAAGTTTTTAATCTTTTTAATTTTGATTCTACTGTATGTGTATGAGTGATATGCCCATATGTATGTAAGTGCACCTGTGTCATACAGTGCCCTCAGAGGTCAGTTTAGGGTGTTAGATCCTCTGGAATTGGAGTTGTGGATGGTTGTTAGCTGCCATTGGGTGCTGAGAGTCTGACCTGGGTCTTCTGCAAGAGCAGCCAGTGCTCTTAACTACTGAGCCATCTCTCCAGCCCAACACTTTTAATCTTTAAAACAAGGAACAATTACCCATCCTAGTGAGTTCTTTTCTTAGAGCAGTATGTGTGAGGCCCTGAGTTCAGTCCACCCCCATACCCATATTCAAAGAAAAATACCTTTGCTTTTCCTCTATTCCTTTCCCTTATCTTTAATTTTCCTTTTTGCTCTAATCATTGGTTACTGCCACCCCATTCATCTGACTCCTCAGCTGGAAAGATAAAACAAGTGGGAACTGAAGCACTTGGGAATTCTGGGGGACTTCTATGTGTGTGATCTCTGACGTGGTTTCAAGGTGGCCACTCGCATGTTCCAAAAGCACATCAGAGTTCACCCATGAAAACCACACCATTGAATTCCCATGAATTCTGATGTGTGAGGCCAGCCCATATTCAAGGGAAGTAATTTAAACTCCATCTCCAGAAGAATTTGTACACTTTTTTAAAAATTAGGCACATTTTAGTACCCCTCCTCTGCCCTTTCCAATGTTTTAGTCCTAAGATCATTAGGTAGCACAAAACCAAGTAGACATTCACAGTCTAGTATATAAGAAGTCACAGGCTGGAGATGCAACTCACTTGATAAAGTGCTTACCTAACATGCACAAAGCCCTTGGTTTGGCCCCACAGTACCCTATAAAACCTGGTGTGATGGTGCGTAACTGAAATCCTCATATGTGGGAAATGGGTCCTGGTCATCCTTGCCTATATAGCTAGTTTTTTAAAAAATATATTTTTTATTTTTTTATTTTATGTGTATGAGTGTATTGTCTGCATGTATGTGAGTGCACCCATGTCATATAACTAGTTTTAAGTCGAGCCTGGACTACATAGACCCTGTTTCAAAAAAAAACTTTTAAGAAACATCAGAGGGAAGAACATCATGTGATGACAGATTGGAGTGATGAATCCATAAGCCAAGGGATGCCAAGGGTTTCTGATAACCACCAGAAAGTTGGAGTCAGGCAGTTCTTCCTAGAATCTTCAAAAAGAACATGGCCCTCTGACATGACTTTGGACTTACAGCTTTCAGAACTATGAGGAATTTCTGTTATTTTAAGTCACCTTGTTTGTGGTTCTTTGTTATGGTAACCTTAGGTGACTAATACAGGTAATAATATTTAAGAGACCCATACTTCTGTATGAAAGACAGTGATGTAGCTGGGCATGGTGGCACATGCCTTTAATCCCAGCACTTGGGAGGCAGAGGCAGGCGGATCTCTGTGAGTTCAAGGCCAGCCTAATCTCCATTAGCAAATCCAGGCCAGCTGCAGCTACAGGGAAACCTGTCTCAAAAAGACCAAAAAAAGTTTGTGAAAGTACATATTGAGTGTTGTGCTCCATCTCTTCAGCCACCTTCTGGAGGGGCTAGAGAGATGGTTCAGTCAGTAAAGTGCTTGCTGCACAAGCATGAGGAACTGAGTTTGATTCCAAGCACCTACATAAAAAGTTGGGTATGGCAATGCACACCTGTAACCCCAGCACTGAGGAGGTAGAGTCAGGATTCCTGGGGCTTTCTGTCCAGCCAGTCTAGCAAATTGATGAGCTCCAGGTTCAGTGAGAGACCCTGTCTCAAAAAAAAAAAAAAAAAAAAAAAGAGGCAGAGGGTGATTGAGAAAGACATCTGGTGTCAACTTTAGCCTACATATGCCACCCCCAAAACATATACACATACAAAAGTTTTCTGGAGAATTTGACTAGCCCAAGAGAAAAGAAAGTTGAAATAGAGGATTTTGTGACATCCCCCCCCGAATATGTCTCACAAACCCCACCACCACTCATACAGAGCTTCTAACTTGTGTTAGGCCCCAATTTTTTAAAGTATTAACATAATTGAACATCACCAGACATATCGCTTATACAAGTGTCTCAAAAGAAGGAACAAAACAAGAAGGAAATGTGCGGGAAAACTTTACCTTGTCTTTATGTGTATGAGTGTTTTGCCTGCATGCATGTAAATGCACCCGTGTCATGCAATCCCAGTAGAGGCCAGAAGATGGCATCAGATCCCCTGGAACTGGAGTAAAGGACAATTGTGAACCACCATGTAGGTGCTTGAAAGGGAACCCATGTCCTCTGGAAGAGGTCAGTGCTCTTAATCAACTTCTCCAGCCCCGCCCCCACCTGTTTTTTTAAAGAACTATATTCAGAGAAGATGCTGCAGTCATAAGATAAAATACAGTCTGCTGTTTTATTATGAAGCAAAGAACAAAGCAATTCTTAGAAATTAAACATGGGGATGATAATGAGGATAGCCAGACACTGTAATAAGTGCTTGCAGTCCCAGCCACTCCGGAGGCCGAGGCGGGAAGATACTGGAACTCAGAATTTCAAAGCCAGCCCGGGCAACAGTAATCAAAACAGTATTCAGTGGACATTTGAACTCGAGAGGTTTCAGATTCTTATGTCCGGGAACAAGGAATTGGACAGAGACAACGTATAATAGCAAGCAGAGCAGGAGTATTAGTGCATTTCTAAGGGAAGTGTGTTAGAAGTGGGCCAGAACAACAGCAACAAAAAGTTTAGGTCAGCAGCCACACAAAGGGTAGGGATATTTTTTTTAATTTATTTTTATTTTATGTGTATGAATGTATAGCTTGCATGTATGTGAGTGCACCCATGTTGTGCAATGCCGCTAACAACTGTCCATAACTCCAGTTCCAGGGTATCTGACAGCCTTTTCTGTCCTCCTCGGGCATTGCACGACACGAGTGCACTTAACTACATGCAGGCAATACACGAAAATGCATAAAATAAAAATAATAAAATATTTTTTTAATTTCCCCAAGTTCTTAATGCAACATAGATCTCATTTCAAAGGAAATGTTTTTCTTAGTCAAATATGAGTGAGCATGACCCAGAAACATGGATTCAAGTTGCCCCAAAAGACATGTTCCAACATGGAAGTAGTTACATGAGCTTTTTATAGTGACAGAGCAAAAGAAAGTCATAAATCAAGGCATTTACTATATGCTTTGCTGGGGATGGCAAGTAGGTGAGTTACAGCAAAGCAGAAAAGCCTCTGCTACAAGCTTGACAGTCTTGGCTTTTGAGTTGGTAGAAGTATGTGGTCTGGAAATACATCCCAAAGGTTTGACCCAAGAACTGAAAGGGTGTTAAGGTCAGACACAGAGGTGGGCACTGAGTTGCTGTTAAGGGGACTAAAGATTGCCCAGGATAATTTGACTCTGGATCCAGCCCTCCACAAAGTCAAGCTCTAATAAATCAGCCCTCCACAAAGTCAAAGTCCTAATGAGTCATCGATCTTTAGTACGTGTGGCTTTTACAAACACAAGATATGAATTTCCAGATTCAAAAGCTCCAACTCCAAAACAGTTTTGTGAATTTTTAGAACACACTAAGTACAAAAAGACTACAAAGCTTCAGTAAGTGGGAAGACTGTTAGAGAAGAAGGATCAAGAATCAGGCTGTCCAGCTGGCTTTCATCTCAGCAGTTGAGCGTCTGATGTAGGAGGATCTCAAGTCGAAGGCAGGTCTGGGCTACATGGTGAGACTGTGTCTCAAAAACAAGAATCACCATGTCCTCTCCCTTCTCCATAGCGACTTGGGGGCTAGAAGACAGTGGAATATTGCCTTCAGAATTCTCAAGCACATTTATTTCCAACCTAAGATTATATATAACCATATTATCAGTCAAGTGTGACAGGGGTTGAATAAAAATTTCCAGCTGGTGGAGATCTCAAAATTATTTCCTTCTCAAGTATCATTTCTCAAGGAGCTACCATAGAATGTACTCATGGGGGAAGTAAAGGAACTCTTCTAAGGAGACTGATGAAAGAAGAGCCCAGAGCTGTGTCTATGCTCCACAGGAGGCAGTCAGTTCAGATGGGAACAGTAAGAGCTGCCATCACAAAGCTGCCCACTACCATTATGCCTTAAACCAGAGTGCCTGACCTGCACTTGCCTTGCTCCAACCGTGTCTTGTTCTCCTGTGTCTAACCTGCAGAAAGTGTTCTGCTCTGTCCTATTCTTCGAGTGGTTAGATGGAAAAAATGCACAGGAGTCAGTCCTGATCTTATTCTTACCAAATGTGGAGAATCAGCTTGCACACCAATCTTGCCCGAACCCTTCAAGATTTTCCAGAACTCAGTTTTGCCCCCCCCCCCCCGCCGCCGCGACTTCCACTAGAATAGGCTCTGTAACTGTCAGGGAGACTAAACCAGATCATGACCTATTTTTGTTCAACTTTTTCCCCCCCAGGGATTTACCTTCATCCATCCATTGAAAAAGCAACTTTTCTTTACATAGCTAAACCCTGCTTGCATCACAATTTCTATAGTTGTTAGCTTTCACATTTGTTTACATGGGCTTAATACTGGTCTCTGGTCCCTAAAGATGACCAGACCCAAATACTTGGAACCTGCGAATGTATTACTTTCAGTGACAAAAAGAAATCTGTGGATGTTGCTTAAGGTTGCTAAGACAGGGAGATTATCTTGGATTATCCAGGTAGACCTGGTATAATTACAAGGATCTAATAAAAGGCAGGCGAGAAGCCCACAAGAAAGAGGGTATTGATCTGCTGGCTTTGGAAGTGAATGGGAGCCATAGGCCAAGGACTGCAAGGTGGCCTCTAGAAGCCGGAAAAGCCAAGGAAACAGATCTATCTATCCAAGCACTCTCAAGAAACTGCTTTTGTAGACCCCACAATAGGCTTTTGGCTTCCAGAACTGCCCAGGAGACTTGTTTTTCTTTAAGCCACACAGTTTGTGATAATTTGCTACAGCAACAATAGGAAACTAAATAATTGGTAAATACATGTTTCATTAAAAATGTTTTAAAAGTTTGTTATAGGTATCTCACAAAATGCTGGCAAAAGAAAACGTTATTCATATGTCTACCTAAACAGTCAGACTGCATCCTCTCCCTCTGAGTAGAAAGAGAGAAGAAGGATCATCAATGGCAAAAGGTGGTTGCATCGAAGCAACACCAAGAGCCGGCTTCACGCTCAGGAGAGAATGCTACATCTCCTCCTCATGGTTTCTGGTATTCTACACAGTCCGAGAAACTTCTCTAGTAACAAATTATAGAAACGATCCCTGAAAGTATAGTCTTAGCCACTTTCTATACCAGGAGGTATTATTCCCTTTCCTTTCCTTGGTGCCAGGGTTTGAACCCAGAATCTTGCACATGCAAGGCAAATGCTCTTCCCAAGTGCTAAAATTCAAAAGGTTCTAAAAAATAGAACTAGTGCTATAAGAATGCATATTATAGGTAGGAACCCCACATTTCTTTTGATTTCAGTACAAATTTGGTGGATATCATGGAATCAAAAATAAAATAGTGGCTGGGGTTGTAGCTCAGGGGCAGAGCCCTTGCCTAGTGTGTGCAAAGTCCTGGTTCCACCCCCAGCAAAACACACACACACACACACACACACACACACACACACACACACACAATGGGCTAATGAGGCACTTCATTACTTACTAATGTATGGGCATTTATAATTTGTTTTACCTTACTTTGTACCCTAAGGGCTTGTATATACCACATTTGAGCTTGTTTTTTCTATCCTTAGAATGTATTTATGTATATTATAGTTCTCTTTGTGGGGGCTGGAGAGATGAATGAGTGGTTTAGAGCACTGGTTGCTCTTGTAGAGGACCCATGTTTGGTCCCTAGTACCCACATAGCAGCTAACAACCATCTATAACTCTAGTACCAGAGGATCTGACACCTTCTGACATCTGCAGGCATGGCATACATGAGTGCACTTACATACATGCAAGCAAAACACTTATACACATAAAATAAAAATAAAGAATTCTCTGTGTGGTGACAGAAAGCTTAAGCCTTAAAATTCCTGTAATGAAAGGAGATATATTCGTTCATTTAACTGATAAGGACAGAGCTACCTACAGCATGAACTAAATTCAGAGGTTCCTTTTTTCCTTTTTCATCTGTCCTTCTGTTTCTTTTCTGGCCTTATTGTCTCTTCCTCTTACCTGTAGGCTTCCTCTATGCAACCAGCCAAAGCCATGGGCAAAACCAGACATCCCCAGTCTTAGAAGAAGACAAGTATATTGATAGATGTAATTCCAGAGAAGGTCTAGATTCGTTGTTCAGTCCTTGGGTTTAGAGGTGTGGCTAGGAGTTTGGGGTACCACGACTGACCAGGCCTGGATCAGGTATCCACCTTTCGTCTCAGGGATAGAGAACTATTCTTGACACTGATAACACTGGATACTGTATCATCAAAGTAAGTACAAGCTAGCAGATGACGATAATATGTATGTTACATCTTGAATCTTCCCTGGGTTAGGAGATAACCCCTTTCACCTAACTGGCCCAGTATGATAAACTGTTCACCTTTATAAGCCCCGTGTTTTATTTTCTTTTTCTCTAGAGAACCGTGTAAAAGGCATATTATTATTTATTATGGTACAATCTCTTTAGTGAAAAATTGGTAGTTTTTACAGTAAAATACATGGTTTGGCCTGAAGTTAGCCAGAAGTTCATAGCTCTTAAGTGGATTGTCATGTGTTGAAAGAGAGGAGTTAAGTAATTCATTATTATTAACAGTTAAAACCTGCAGTTTGAGGGCAGGAGGAGTTTTTTTTTTTTTTTAAATAGTGCTAGGGATTAAACCCATTACTTCATACATGCTAGGCAAGTATTCTACCACTTAACTACATCTCTAGCCCAAGATCTACAGTTTAAAAAAAAACATATATTTTTCTGTTTAAGAGTGTATTGCCTGCATGTATGTAAGTGCACCTGTGTCATGAAATGTCTGCAGAGGTCAGAAGAGCATGTTGGATTCCTTGGAACTGGAGTTATGAATGGTTACCCACCACGTGGGTTCTGGGAATTGAACCTGTGTCCTCTGCAAGAGCAGCCAGTGCTCTTAGCCGCCGAGCCATCCCTCCAGACCCAAGATATGCAGTTTTTAATAACTCTGTCCCCCACTTCCTCCTCTTCCTTTTACACTTCAGAACCATAAGCTAACAAGTCCTTGTTCAGTATAAATGTGTAAAGAATATTTTCTCTCTAAATATATCAACCAGGTTCAAGATTATCCTATAAGGTCTCTCTCACTT